TTTTCAATTCCTGATAGGTATACTGGGCCAGAATGCCATTGTATGTCCAAAAGTAACCATTTTATTGTGAATTTCCTAGGATTTCTTTCTAGATGCTTCCGGAATCATCCATCCTGCTTTTCAAATCCATCTGCAGCCCAGAGGGCCATGCACATCTGATAGGTTAGGAAAGGGTTGGTTAGGAAAGGGTCACACTGAGAAGCAGGGGTGGGAGGAGTTGGCTGGACCCCTTCCCTCCCAGCTCCCTTCTCAGCTGCCTCCCATTGGATTCTCCTGGGTGCCTCATACCCAGACAAGCACCCTAGGGGCTCAGCTCAGTGCCCTGCTAAGGGCACACCCAGCACCCCTGGCCAGGTCCCTGCTGCCCCCTCATGCGGTTGGCTGTGGAACCAAGGTCCATTTCCAAACAGTGTTGTCTGCCTGCAGCTCGCAGACAGGGAGGGAGAAGCCCCAGCTCTGGGGCCACAGGTTCTCAGCTCTCAGCATGGAGGAAACTGCTCTCAGCTGAATTGTTAGGGAACTGATAACAATCTGTCGCCGAGGTAACTATTCTTCCAAGAAGGTCAAACAGAGAAACTACTCTGATAGTCAATAGTGAGGTAATTGTGAACCCACTGGTCTTCTGGCCTCCAGTCAAGGAGCTCAGCCAAAAGCCCATGCACACTTTTTCTCTGCTTGCAATTTTCTGAAGACTCCAGGCATGGGAACCTCGTCTGCACCCCAGGCCAGGACCTGACAGTCAGAGGGAGCCGCAGGATTTGTCAGCTTGCCTGGGAAAGAAGAGAGGTCCTTTGTGGAGGAACTGGAGGCGGCCCCGCGCCAGCCTCCCTCACCCAGCTCCGCTCCGTGCACCCACAGCCTGTCAGCTCTTTTAAGGGCTGGGAAAGTCAGGCTTTTTGTTGTGCCCTGAGGGAGTTGGGTCCCTGGTCACCAGCCCAGGATTTACAGAGAGAGGAGCCCAGAGGGATGGGAAACACCAGCCCTTTCATGGATGGAGAACCCAGGGCTTTTAGTGCGCAGAGACACTGACTATTCTGCATCCCATTGATGAGGAATGGAGCCGGCGGGGTTCGCGCAGCCCTGGGCCAGGGCTCTTGCTGCCCAGGGGCAGAGAGTCCCAGAGAATCGGGCCTCCAGCCTGGCACCTGCAGCCAGCCCACGAGCAGCCCCACCGTGCAGCTTGGTCAGCTTCGTGGAGGAGCAATATGAACTCCCAACCTGTTAGATGTCAAATGTGCTGTGTTTGTGGTTCCATGACATTGAGGAATGAAGTTGCAAACCAAAGGAAGTTAGGAGAGTTTTATTGGCAATAAGGAGAGAACAATAGCTCCTGGATTTCCAGGAGGGGATCCAAGTGGTGGCCACCGAGGCCTTTTGTCAGGGGTAATTTAGACGGCAAAGTTTCCATGTTGGTGCAACATGGGTCAAACTACCGTCAATCCATGGGGTTACAAGTATAGGTGCTTAGCTAATATTGGTCCGATAGGGAAATGAAGCGTGTAGCAAGGGTACATGGAAAGAACAAAGGCATTTTTGGGAAGGGATGGGTCCAGATACTCTGGTCAGCCACCTGGGTGGTTGATGCCTATCTGGACCCACTGGACCAGCTGGTGCTAATCATACTATAAATCTCAGTTACAGTTTATCCCTTAGGAAGGCATAGGCCATTGTGTCTTCATCTTGATAACCCTAACTTCTTCAGCTGTGCCTCCGGCTGCAATTCTGGTGTGTTTTATTTTTGTGCTGACTTCCTTGAGAGCCTAGTCCCTGTCTGACTGCGTATGAATTTCTATCTAACGTGGCTGCCTGTAACATTCTGGGCGGTGCTGCGACGGCCTGACACTGCCACCTCCCAGTGGAAGATGAGATCTGTCTCAGCACTCGTCGTCGTCGTCCACCACCATCCCATCCCTATTTGTTGGCTCAGAGGGCCAAGGTTTCAGGAGACTGCAAAGACCAGCTGGCAGTGAAGACAGAGCCTGCTTTGGAATCTGCCACTCAAGAGCTCAGAACCCAACTCTGACACACTCTTGCCCAGAGAACCAAGTTGGAACTCACACCAAAGATGGTCTAGAAACTTCAGTGGGAGACTGGGGAGGAGGGGCACACGGCAGCACCAGGAATGGGCAGCTGCCTCCCTCATCTTACCAGGCCCCCATCCTGGCGGCTCCCAGAGGATCCAGCACCTTGGCCATTTGTTGTCTGCTTTCCTCGGTGATTACAGATGTTGTTGCTTCTCTTTCCAAGTAAACGTAGTTCCTCACATGTGTCTGGAACGCTTTCCATGTGCCGGGCCCATGTGAGCGCCAGGGGTGCAGAAACTACTCAACTGCACAAACCCACCAGCCTGGGATCCTGCCTGGGCGCCCATGGTGAGGCCCAGAGTGGCCACCTCCGGGACCAGCAGGTTCCAGGCAAGGTGCAATGCCAGCCTGAGGAGCCAGAAGAGGGCTAGGGTGCTGCACGGCTGAGCACTGCAGAAACTCTCCTGGCAGCAATCTGGACTCGCCCTCATGCCAAGGGTCTGGGGCAGAGTTTGGCACAACAGGATTTGAAGAGAAGCCTGAATCAAAAACTCAGCTGACTGTAGGTTTGGGGTCAAGTCCCAAGAAGCTCTCCAGAGCCTGAGGCAGGGGTTCAATGCACGTTTTATTGAGAGGTGTTCTCAAGAGAAAGACCCAGGCTTCTGGGGGTGGGTTACCCAGGTGAGGTGGCACCTGGAGGGCAAGTGCCCCGCCTATCCACTGTCGCTGCAGAGGTTTCAGCCCAAGCAGGCACGGCAGAGGCAAAGCTGTGCGGACAGCCACATGACAGCTAGGAACAGATGGTTTCCAAAGTGCACCTTGTTCTTAGGTCACCCAGCCTCCAGAACTGTGAGATATAAATGCCACTTAGGCCACCTTGTCTATGGTAATTTGTTACAGCAGCCCAGGATGACTAAGACCACATTATTCCCATACACCCTACAATCCCCCTTTACTTGGTTGTTTCTCAAGTTCGTATTGGCCGGAAGCTCCCTTGGGAGATGAGATGAAGTCTCCTTCCCAGACAAAGCAGCAGGCTGCTCTGAGGTGCCAAGTCCCTGGCCCTATTGTTCCTCTCCTGGGTGTAACTAACAGTGCGATGGCTCCCATATGGACTCATCCATGGGCCTTGAGGCCCAGGGAACCCAAGTGACCAAGATGACAGTGGCTGCTACCATTGCTGTGGGTCTTCGTCGGCGCTGTGTACCTGCTGCAGGCCAACCTGTTAGTTTGCACAGAGGGAAAACCTCTGTCCTTCCCCAGCCTGTGGCATCTGGCACGAGTCCCCACCACTTCCAACCATGGCAGCCCACTTACTGTACCCACACATGCATGGGAGATCTGACTTCTGGCCCTTTTCTGTTCCCCAAAGCATGTGCCCTTCCATGCTGTGCATTCGGTCTACAGTCGGGCTTCCCTGTCTTTGTCTGCCTGTTCTTGAAGACTGAGTTCCAGAAATACCTGCTCTAGGAAGCATCCCCTGTGGTCTAGCTGGTTCAGTAGGCACACCTGCCCTCACTACCCTCGCTATGTGACACAGCATCAATGCGCGGCCAACTCACCAGCTCCTACGATGTGAGCTCCCTGGAGATGGCAACTATTTATTTATTTACTTATTTACTTATTTATTTTCAGTACTGGGGATGGAAACCAGGTTCTTTGTACTGAGCTACATCCCCAGCTGTTTTTTATTTTCACTTTGAGACAGGGTCTGACTAAGTTCCTAAATTGCCCAGGCTGGGTTCAAACTTGTGATCCTTCTGCCTCAGCCTCCCTAATAGCTGGGATTACAGGCATGTGCCACCATACTCAGCTACAAACTGTATCTTGCTCATCCTAACCTGTCCAGTGCACAATTGGGGCGATGCCCAGAAATATTTCTCAAAAAGTAAAAAGGAAGAATGAGTGAAAGGATGATCCAAGTTGATCTTGTTCCTCTGAACTTGCGTAGGACTTTCTCTACAAGAGTCCATGAGGAGAGGACCTACTGGTCGCTGGCCAGCCTGCCCTGTGAACTCCACATGGACCCTGCAAGGGCCATGGCTGTATCTTCTTGTTCAGACACCTGAGGTCATGCCAGTGTTTTTCCAGCTTTCATTTTATAGCTATATGATGCTAAAATATGTGAAAACTAAACCCAAGGACAGCAAGAAGAGCTGTGGAGACTGCTGAATTTTACCTAGGTGAATAGGTAGATTTTCCCATCCATGGAAATTTGCATGTCTGTGTCTAATATAATAATCAACTCAGTTTCCTGGGAGAAGAGAAAAGCATTTTTTTTTCTCCCTTTCCTCTGCCCATTCACTGTTTCTGAGTAGGTTGTAGGAGGTGACTTTTTTGTTTTGCTTTTTTTTTTGACACAGGGTCTCACTATGTAATTCAGGTTGGCCTCAAATTCACTATGTAGCCCCAGCTGGCTTTGAAATTGAAGCTATCCTCCTACCTCAGCCTTTCAAGTGCTGGGATTACAGGTACGTGCCACCACACCCAGCTAGGAGGTAAATTTTTTAAGGATTCAGCAAATCTTTATAACAACACTCCCTCCTTCAGTACCTGGCTGGTGTCCCAGTGGTAGTGTGGGCACGGAACAGCTCTGGTGCTCGGAGGCCTCTGCTGTCTGCTGCGAATGCGACAGGAGAGAATTTGCAAAGGTGTGAGGGCCTAGGAATGTTAATATTCCTGTTAATATTCCTTAAAAGATGCAACCAAAAAGTTAGAATCAGGCTTGAACTAGGTTTCCATTACTCAGGACTGTGTGTTATTAAATGTGCTCAGTGAGCCGCAGCTGGGCTACACATATCTCTTCAGACAGACCAGTGGGCTGGACAGGCTGCCTGACACTGCTGGCCAGGGACATTTGCACCTATGTCACCTGAGCCACCATCGCAGGGACACTGTAACAAAGGGAGCTACTGCACAAAGGCACAGACCTTTCATCATGGATGAGTTTAGGGGCCTTGCTGCAGCCCCCAGGAACCCCCTGGAAACGGTGTCACATGCCAGTGGCCGTCCATCTACACAGGGACAGAGCCATTCTCCGTGATCCTGGTCTCAGATGGGGCTAGGTGGCTGGAGCAGGTATGTGGTCCCCTGAACCATGGGGCAGCCATGTTTGACATCAGTAAAGAGAATGGAAAGACCAAATAAGTCTACGGCTATACCACCCTGAACACGTCCAGTCTCATCTGATCTCAGAAGCTAAGCAGGGTCGGGCCTGGTTAGTACTTGGATGGGAGACCGCCTGGGAATACCGGGTGCTGTAGACTTTCGGCCTCCCGCTGGGGATATAGCTCAGTGGCACAAGTGCCTGCCTGGCAAATGCAACGTCCTGAGTTCAATTCCTGATACCAAAAAAAAAAAAAAAAAAAATTCAACAAACAAGTGAGAGAGGACAAGGAGGCCTATGTAGGCTCATTGCCCTGTGCTTGCTCACCGTGAGTTTGCAGCTTGTTGGAGGAGATTTGCTCTGATTTGCAACTGCAGTCAGCGAGACCAAACTGAGGACGTGGGGTGTCGGGCCTTGCTGCTCCAGCACTGTTGCTGTAATTCCGCCGGCCCCCTGGTTCTAAGCCCTGGGCAGCATTGCAAACTATGGGGGAGATGCCCCAGGGTCCCGTGGGCTCGCTGGTGGATGAACCTGTCCCAGGGCTCCAGAGCGTGCTCCAGCCAGCCAGGCCCAGGGAGCAGAACAGGCCTCCCATGTCTCTCTCCCCTTGGCACCAGGTCAAAGAGGAGACAAAATGCTTCTTCTAGCAGCCAGTCAGCAGGGTCAGCAGGGGAACCAAGTCATTAGTTTTTGCTAGAGAGCTGGAAAACACCTTCTGAGGGTGTTAAAGATAACCAGACACAATAGTGGACATAATTAGAGAGGAGGATTTTCTGAGGAATTAATAAAAGAAGCCAGTGTTATCTGATTGTCATTTTTAAAAGGTGGGAAAATCATTTTTTTGTTTTGTTTTGGTTTAGTTTGATTTGGTTTGATCTGGTTTGGTTTGGTTTTGAGACAGGGTCTTGCCAGGTAGTTCAGGCTGTCTTTGAACTCACCCTGTAACACAGGCTGGCCTCAGACTTGCAGCAATCCTCTTGCCTCAGCCTCTCAAGTGCTGGGATTATAGACATCACCATACTGAGCAGAGGAAGATACTTTTAATGTTTTTTATTCTTAACTGATATCAAAACCACCCCTCTGCTGCACACTCACAGTCTGGGTAGTTCTGGGCCTGCAGTAGGGAGACAGAGGCCCCTGGGAGAGGCCATTGTGAATGCCCTGGGGTCTCTTTATTGCAAAGAAGTTCTTAGCAGGGACCCCTGACAGAAATAACTTGAGGGGGATCATGACTGACACAAACTTGGTGTCAGGGATGCACAATTCTCTAGAAAAAAATTTTAAAATTTTAACTGAAGTTATTTTAAATGTATTATTCTAAATAGATAATTCATTAGTCTATAGAAAAATATTAGGGAAATGAAAAGATACAGTGCTACTTAATTATTTGAGTATTTTTGCGTATGGCACTGGGATGTTCCTAACCCAGAGTGCCCGGAAGTTAGCTCCAGGCTGTCCCCCGGCTCCCTCCGACACTCCATGATTGTGTGTCCCACTCCCACCAGGGCTTTGGAAATGACGGCTCCTCACTCCTCTCCTCACGGGCATTTCAACAGCACTACAATACCTGCCCGCCAGTGCTCCTCAAAAGGCCTCCAACCATTTCAGTTCCCTTCTGGTCTGTTTCTGTATAGTGGGACTTGTTTAGGGTGTTTCTTCTTTTTTTTTTTTGAAAAAGAGATCTGCTGCTAAAGAGAGGCTTGGAATTCCAAGGACCGCCGTGCCCCCCCAGGAATTGTCACCTCTGTGAGGTGGTCACTCCACAGGCACCCTTTTCCCAAGTCCCTGTGTCCCTCGCAGTGGAAAGAAAGAGCCAGTGTTCTGACTGGGGCTGCTCTGACAAGCTGGATAATTTGCCTTCTCCTCTCCTCCTCACAGAAGCTGTTGCTCAGAAAAGAAAGACCAGGCACTCCTGCCTGAAGCCCTGACCAAAAATTTTTCTGTATCGCTTTAAAGAGAGAGCCATTCTGAAGCTTCTGTCAGGTGTGTATGTATGAATCCAAAGATGGAGGCTTCTGAGGAGGTTTCCTTTGCTCAAGGAAAGGTATTACCCAGTTTCCCTCAGGAGCTGTTGAGAGGAGGAGATGTGATGGGTGGTTTGGGCACTTGGGAGCCAGCAAGGGCTAAGATCTCAGGAGGGCGGGAGACAGGTGGTACCACGGCAGCAGCCCCAGGCTGTGGTGTGGGTGGGAGAAGGACTTTGAAGGTGGTGCTAATCCTCAAGTTCCCGGGTCTTCCCAGGCCCTCTACTGTGTCCCCACCCTCAGGAAGAGCTACGTTGCTCCAATCCTGGAGTGTATGCTTGAGAGACCCTGAGAATGTTCTGGAACAAGCCAGGGGCTGCCCATCATGGAGAAGAGGAAAGGAGGTGCCCAGGTGTGGCCAGGGAGAGGCTGGAAACAGGAACTAGGGTGACAGTCCCCATTCCCCTTCTGCCCTGGACTCCCCAGATGTGGTAGGGAAGGTCCCGGGTTTATCGAATTTATGCGGGGAAAAGACTGTTATTTACTTTGGATACTAAAACAATTAGGGAGCCCAGAAAGCTAAAGAACTTGGGGCACACAGTGACCTTCAGCATCTTAGGCTCTGACAGGTCCCTCCCATAATAGTCTCACCTGTCTCCATTTCCCCACACACCCATTGTGTCTTAAGGAACCCATGCCAATATTTCTTGGGATCACAAACTTTGTATATCTGTTATTTGGGTCTTTCTCACCTGTTTCTCAAAATGTAAACAGTATCAGCCACATATTTCCCTGCTCCTGCAGCTGGAGGAACTCATCCAAGCCCAGGGCGGGCACCAGGGCAGAGCTTCCAGGGCCCCCAGGCCTGGCACCTGGCGTGAGGAATACTTAAAGGTTGCTGTTAGTCTCATTGGCTGCCTAATAAAGCTTGGTGTGGTTTTTGTTGTTGTTATTATTGTTTTTGTTTTAAGAAAAGTATAGAATTCACTGGCAATTGCTTCTTGGCCTTTTGTCTAAAATCGAGTGCAAGATTCACTGGTAAAAGTTAAGTACAACTCATATTTAGAACACAAATACAGTAATGGTGGTGGATAGATCAGTTATTTCTAAACTTAGTATAAAATTTAAAAGGCAAAACTACTAAAAATAGCAATAGCACCAATAATTTGAGAAGATTTATAAAGTATAAAATGATGTAAATTGCAACATTAAAAACAAAATGTGATGGGAAGAGCAATAAATATTTAGAATTTCTGTATGTTGTCAAAATGAATAGCTTAAAATAGCCTCTTTAAAGTATAAGATGTTATAATCAACTTTTCCACTATCTGATACTAATCCATAGTTTTAATTTCCTCCTTGGTGCAAATGTTTTAGGTGAGTGGTGGGTGATGTGCCCTGGACTCCCCAGATGTGTGTGTGTGTACGTGTGTGTGTGTTAACACCTGCAAATGTGTACCTGCATAATTTATAAGATATCAGAAGATACTAAAAAGCCAACCCATAGAATGGAAGGAAATATTTGCAAATTGTACCTCTAAGGGATTCATATTCACAACATATAAAGAATTCCTATAACTCTTAATTACAAACTCCAAATGAACTAAATTAAAAAGTGATTAGAGGATCTGAACTGACATTTCTCCAGAAAGGACAAACAAATGTCCAACAATCCCATGAAAAGATATTCTATATCTAGACATCCAGAAAACGAAAATCAAAACCACAAGTAAATACCACTCCACACCCACTAGAAAGGCTACAATCAAAAAGGCAACAGTAATAAGTGTGGGCAAGAATGCAGAGAAAGGGAAACCTTTGTATACTGTGGAAAGGAATATAAAGCAGTGCAACCACTTTGGAAAATAGTATCGTCAAAAGGTTAAACATGGGGCTGGGGATTTAGCTCAGCGGCAAAGCGCCTGCCTGGCAAGCGCAAGGTCGTGAGTTTGGTTCCCGGTACCGGAGAAAAACCAAAAAAAAAAAAAAAAAAGGTTAAACATAAGCCGGGAATGGTGGTGCATGTTTGCAACGCCAGTGTTCTGGGAGACTGAGGCAGGAGGATTACAAATTCATGCCCAACCTGGGTAATTTAGCAAGTTTCTGTCTCAAAGTAAAAAAAAATAAATAAGAAAAGGTCTGGGGCTTTAGCTCAGAGGGAAGGCATAAGGTTCAAGCTCATAAAGTTCAAGCTCAACTGGGGTTAAAAAAGGGCTAAATGTAGCGTATGATTTAATCCAACTGAAACATATATTAATCCAACTAAAACATATATGATTTAATCCAACTGAAACATATATGACCATGAATGTTTATAGTACATTATTCATAAAAACCAAAAGGTGGGGACAACCCAATGCCCATCTGCTGGTGAATGCATGAGAAAAGTAGATCCATTCAGTGAGATCTGTCCATAACAGGAACGGCGCACAGGCACATGCAGTGACGCAGAGGAACCTCGACAGCATGCTCAGAGCCAGGCACAATACACAATCCATTATGTGACTCCATTTGTACACAGAGTACAGTGGCGAATTCACGATGACAGAAAGGTGATCTGTGGCTGCCTCTCGGGAGGTCACCCTAAAGCTGCGGAATGGGGGGGGGAGTGTCCCAGAATGGAGCCCCAGCTTGTGTGGTTCCCTGGAACCTGTTTTCCAAACTGAGCACAGTGCTTCACTCTTCCTTCCTCTGCTGTGCGCAGGCTGCCCCTCCTCCCACAGGGGCCCAGGCCGCTTCCCCCACCCCCCTACCCCCCCACTCCCGCTCTCCAGGCTACATGGACAGTTCAAACACCATTTCACAGAAATGTTTCCTTCTTCAGGTTATGGTTTCAACTGGGCAGTTAACCCAAAGCATAGAAAACCCTGACAAAAAGCAAAATTGTTCTCTAGGGGACATAAAATATGTGACCAAAAGGAAAGGGCATGTAGTGGAATTAATAGGTGGAATAGAATACGGTTAGCAACTTTACCCCAATTAATCTGCAGCATACATTTAATATTTTTATGAGAGTTTTAAAACTTGTTGAAAATCCAAAAACTCATTATAAAAAGCAAGTATAATTTAAATAGCATTTTAAAAATTTTTAAAATTTTTTTTTTTTAATTTTTTGAGACAGGGTCATGCCCAGGCTGGCCTCAAGTGTGCTGATACTCCTGCCTCAGCCTGTCAAGTGCTGGGATTATAGGTAATGCTTCACCATGCCCTGCTTAAATACTAGAGTAATGAGAGAATCTTGTTTCACATAATATTAAACAGAATCTAAGCGATGCTAAAGATTCAAGAAACAGCTGGGCATGATAGCACACACCTGTAATTGCAGCACTCTGGGAGGCTGAGACAGGAGGATTACAAGTTCAAGACCAGCCCTGGCAAGGGCAATTTAGCAATTTAGCAAGAACCTATCTCCAAAATAAAAGTGAAAAGGGGTAGGGATGTAGCTCAGTGTGAAGACCCTGGTTTCAATCCTCCATGCTTTAAACAAACAAAAGCAGCAGAAGAAGGAAAAGGAGGAGAACGAAAAGAAGAAAGAAAAACAAGATACAAGAAAGTAGGAGTGCAGAATTTGACACGTAATTCTGAGTAACAAACTTTTTCTAATATGAAAATCTCAAATACTCCAAATCTTGAATGCTCCCTGTAAAATTTTTGAGTACTAGTACAATGTCACGAGTGACGCCTTCACAGAGCTCAATGCGCACAAACTTGGTTTCATGAACAAAATTATTAAAAATACTATCTAAAATTGCCTTCATCCTACACGTGTAAGGTGTATATAAAACATAAATAAGTTTCATGTTTACACTTGCTTGGGTCCCACCTCTAAGATATTTCATTATGATTATGCAGATATTCCAAATTCTCCCCAAAATCCCAAATCCAAAACACTTCCGGTCCCAAGGATCTCAGACAAGGGTTACTCAACCCCTGTTAGGAATTCTTCCTTTAGAAACTGCAAAAGCAAAGGAAGACCAAGCAGAGGCCCAGCTCCACATGTTGCAGTGGACCATGCAATGGACCACCGCCCAGTCTTTCAAAGAGCTGCAGGAGGGAACTGGCATAGGCGTCAGCATGCAGGCTTGCGGCAGCAACCTTGGGGCAGTGCAGAGAGAGGCCGCCAGTGTTACGGGTTAAGCAATGTCACTGTTGACGAGTCGCTTTCCTTCCCTGTAGTAGGAGGCCCCCCAACAACACTGTCTTGGTTACTTTTCTCTTGTTGCTGAGACATAATACCCAATGCCCAAAATTAAGGAAGGGAAGGTTTATTTAGCTCACAGTTTGTGGAGGTTTCAGTCCATACTTGGCAGGCTCCAAGGCAGAGTGATGAGGGCAACAGTTCATGGTGGCAGAAAACAGCAAAAGCAATAAGAGCAAAAGGGAGGAGCAATGGCAAGGAGCCTCTTTCCCTCCCTTACACTGTATGCAAACTATCTCCCCAGGGCAAGTGTAGCACTCACACCCATAATTCCAACACTGGACCATGAAGCAATCAGAAACTGCAGAAGCCTGTCCCATGACTGCATGAGGCTTTGGGGGCACACCCAGACACAAACCATAACAAACACAGAAAACTGTTCCTGTATTTTGTCAAATAAAATTAGAGTTTATGAACATACATGTTTAGAAAGACCCCAGGACATGATACAACACAAAGGCCACTTTGCCTCTGCGGTGTTCTTTCCCCCAAACCCAAGTAGTATTACAAGAACAGCGGACAAACCTGAACTGTGGGCACCCTGTGAAACACCTGATCAGTCCCTGAGAAATGCTGTGGTCGGAAAAAGACCAGGACATGGCCACAGATGGGAGGAGACCAACGAGATGGGATAACAGAGTGCAATGTCACCCTAGGTCCAAAATAGGACATTCATGGACTAGCCGGTGACACTGGAATACAATCGGCAGTTTAGTTATAGTCTTTTTTTTTTTTTTGGTCTTTTTGAGACAGGGTCTCACAGTTCGGGCTGGCCTTGTGCTCACTTTGTAGCCCAGGCTGGTCTCGAACTCACAAGGATACTCCTGCCTCAGCCTCCCTAGTGCTGGGATTTAATTAATAGTCTTGTACCAGTGTGGATTTCTTAATTTTTATAAGTACATCATGGCTTTGTAAGATGCTGACAGTACAACAAGTTGGCAGAGGGGAATGCTCTACTGTCTTTGCAACTTTTCTGTACATATGAAATTATTATATACATTTAAAAAATTAAAATGGGGGAATACATAAAAATGAGCCTAGAATCAAGCAAATATTTAACCTGATATGATGTGACCTGGAGTGAATTTCTCTAATTATCAATAAAGCAGTCAGATTTAAGAAAAACAACCACTAATGGTGGTTGGCACAAGTCACTGATAATGATACTTTTGTCTCTTATACTGTTGAATTTGCTTCCATGAATATATGTAGGTGCTTCAACGTGTAAACCTTGTTCTAAAAATCTGATGGAGAGTAAGTGACCCATACCCTGGCCTGGACTTGGAAAAGGCGCCAGGCTGTGGACCACCCCACTGTAACCCAGGCTGGCACTAAAAATGCCAAAAGACACCGCAGTGGAGAGGAGGCAGAGGCTTTCCAGGAAAGCTCACATCGCCACACAGAGCGCGTCCGGGCTGTCACACCACAGCGGGACAAAAAGGCCTTCAGGACTGTTGGCAGGCATGCATCCCGCGCATGAGCAAGAAAAGCTTCTCGCACCAGCCTGGCCACTTCTCTCCGTCCCCGCCCGACAGCAGGGAAACAGGGAGGTTTTCCAGCTCCCCGGGGCTGGGTGCCAGGCCCTGAAATGGGAACAGTAAAACCCACTCTGGCTGCCCAGTGCCAACAGGGCAGATACAGAGGGACTGGCAGGCAAGGGTGAGCAGGCAGAGTGGCTCTGCCGGTCACT